GAATGTTTTAGTATCTACTATCACTTTAGTGCATATTCCCATGCCTGCCACCTTATTATGAAACGAATAAGGCTCTTGGACAGCAAGTATGTCTATCTTGTGCTCAAATGCTAATTGCCTTAGTTCATCTGATACAGACTTGGAATTTTGTGCATTTATTTGCCCTATATACAAAGTACTTCTATGACAGCAATTGGTGGTGTAATTACTTGCCATAGTCTATTTTTGAGACGTAATTTGCCATAGCAATTTTGTAGGCTGGACAATCCGAGGAACGTGAGGAGTGGTCACAAGCTTTACCTGCTCTCTTGCAGTTAATGCATACTGGACTCTTGTTTTTAGCTTTRCAATCTTTAAAACTGTGACCGTCACCTCCGCAATGACCACATGTATCGCTTTTTGATTTGCAGTGCTTCGACACGTGTCCAMAAGATTGGCATTTGTAGCATCTGCTTATGACTACAAAGTCTCGAATCCAGTGTGAAGTCCAGCCAATGTATACCATATCATTTTTCAATAATATATTTCTTACGTTAGGTGTAACTTCAATGATTATGTTGACTGAATCCTGATTTTTGCCGTTGGACCTGTGAGAGATTACTACTTCCTCAGCACATTTGGTTTTGGGAAATTCGTCCATGTTTTGCTGTCTTAATGCTTCTAAGAATTCTTTATCGCTCATCTCTTTTTGGACATTGAAAATAATGAGCTTCGGTTTTTTCTTTGTTGGAATTCCAGTCCGTAGACCTATTTCCTGCCATTTTTGGGACTTGAGTACACGCTCCATGTCGTCTTTTGTTTTAGTTTCCACTAAAATACCGTTGTTTGCAATTTTCTTTACATTGCAGATTTTGAGTTTTTCTTTTGAAGGGGCTACACTACTCATGACGACCAGTTTAGTTTCGTCACTTGACTTAATGTTGTTATCAGCACTTGGATATATGGCGATAACATGCTTCTCCGATTTTGCTTCTACGCTAGCTTCTTTAGCCACGACAGGGATCTTCAATCTCTCTGCATAGCTTAGCTTTTTATTTATCACCTTAGTTGACTCGTTCTTAATATGTTTAATGCTGCATGTAGCATCATGGATCGCCTTCTCGAGCTTTTGTAGCTTATCGTCTAACGAGTCTTTTCCTGGCTGTCCCTTTTTTAGCTCATTATTCTCCTTTTTAAGGAGCGTAATGGTTTTGAACATCATAGATACTTTGTTTTTTATCTCCTCGAAATCTTCTTCTTCTAGGTCGTCCATTGTCATGTGCTTTATGTTTCTTTCAAATTTTTTAAATGACTTGATTTCTTTGTCAAGCTCATTTTGTGCTGATTCTGGAGCAGATGTTTTCTTCATTAGCTTCTTTGTAACTGTTTCTTCAGTTAATGGTTCTTCGTCGCTTCGCTCTTTTCTCTTTTTGGGTTTATCCTTGCCCAAAGTGAGGTTATCGCATATTTCCATATCTTCAGCTGCTATGTTCCTAAGCACAGGAAAATCCACAGCTTTGAATGGTTGACTCATGACTGATTCCGCACAGTGATTGGTGCGTAACAAGGCTTCGTCCAATCACAGTTGTTTATTGCTGCGGCGCACGGCGGCGCACCACGCGCGCTGGAAAAAACTTATACACTACCGCACGAACACTTTTCCAATATGGCTGCTTTCTAGTCAAGAACACGAAAGAAAGTTTTCGTTTAATGTTTCTTATTTACAGCYGTCACCAATATAAATTTATATGTAGGTTTGTTCAGAATTTTTAGCACTATTCACTAATCACAAATTTATAATTAGAGAAAGCACTTTTGTACAAGTTACCACTGATAAAACACAGAGCGACGTGGAGACGTCCTGCACACTTTTATCCAGGGGGCGCTAGTCAGACCTGCAGAACAGGAGGCTCCTCGACGCGGAYCTCATCCACCAGTCGGCCGGCACAATCCTCCCGGCCCAGATTCATTCGGTCGCGGTCATTATCCCGCCAACCGTCGCCGAAGGGACTTTCGCGGACCTCCTTCGGGAGTTCCAGGACCTGGCCACTCCGGGGAGTACGACCGTGGCCCTGCCAAATTTGGACGT